TTAAACACGCCTGATCAAACTAATTGAGTCCTTCAGGCTTGTCTGAAACCTACAGGTAAGTGTGTTGGAGCAGGGTTGGAACTAAACTGTGCAGGGCTTCGGCCCTCCAGGAATTGAGTTTGACACCCCTGCTGTAAACAGTGTGAAGTAATGAAGTGTGAATCCACTAGTGTCAGAAATAAAAGCCGGAGGAGAAACAGAGCTCAGACGTGACACACACACACACACCTGTCGGACAGGTTCTTCCTCCTGTGGCTCACACACACACACACACCTCCGTCATCTTGCTGTGTTTGGCTGTAATTACTGACTGTTCCTTTCATTAACTCACAGACGCTGAATTATGAGCCGTGCTTCTGTGCAAATATTGAACCAGAGCTGTTTCCTTCACATCGATTCAGGACAGTCAATATTATATATGCTGCACACTGCAATCAAGAGCATACGAGTCGTGCCAGCTATCAAATGATTCAAACACACACACACACACACACACACACACACAGTTCAGGTCAGAATTATTATTCCCCCAATTTCTGTTTATCAGAGAGCAGATTTGCCCAACACATCTCTAATCATAACAGTGTTCATAACTCATCTGTAATAACTGATGTGTTTTCTCTTCTCCATGATGACAGCACATAATATTAGACTAGATATTCTTCAAGACACTAGTGTTCAGCTTACAGTGACATGTAAAGGCTTCACTAGGGTAATTAGGGTAAAGTTAGGGTAATTAGGCAAGTCATTGTATAACAGTGGTTTGTTCTGGAGACAATCCAACACTAATATTGCTGAAGGGGCCAATAATATTGAGCTTAACATGGTTTAAAAAATAAAATGCTAATTTTATTCTATCCGAAATAAAACAAATTAGACTTTCTTCAGAAGAACAAACATTATCAGACACACTGCGAACATTTCCTCAATCTGCTCAACATATTTTATAAAGAAAACAAATACAAAGGGGTGATAATAATTCTGACTTCGACTGTACATGTTCCCATGCAACACTGAATTTACACACACACGGACTTGCTCGCTTAGGTAAACAGTTCAGACTGCCGCAGTGTAATCTTATCTAGGCGTCATCTAAGAACAGTGTGTGTGTGTGTGTGTGTGTGTGTGTGTGTGTGTGTGTGTGTGTGTGTGTGTGTGTGTGTGTGTGTGTGTGTGTGTGTGTGTGTGTGTGTGTGTGTGTGTGTGTGTGTGTGTGTGTGTGTGTGTGTGTGTGAACAATCACCTCTGGTCATGGACATCTGCTAAAAGAAAAATGCTTCTTTTATCTGGAGTTTTTTTGTTGTTTCTAGTCCAAATATTTACAAAATCTTAATTCATGAAGCATTTTCTAGACAAGAACAACATATAGTGCTGTTTTCAGACATAAATGAAGAGAGTTTGTATGTAATCTGCCAATGGGGTGAGCAAAATAAGATCATTGATAATGCGCAACTCTGGTTTGCACTTATTTGCCATATACCCTTAATGTCATTGTATTGCTCACAATTTTATTCTTTATGCATATTTTCAGACCACATTTCATGTAGAATTGTAAAGAATTTCTACTTCTTGTATTAATATTATATGTTAGGCACTTGTAGGGTCTGAGAGTAACGTAATATTGATTTTCTCCACGCCCTGTACATGTGGCTGAATTGACAATAAAGCTGACTTTGACTGAAAAAACAGATTATTAATGTTGTTTTGAGGAAATTCTCTCTTCATTTGACTCATTATTTCTGAAAGCAACACTATCCTTCTTACTTGTCTGAAAGCTTCTTGATGTAAGAGTTTTTAGATATTTGTACCAGAAACACGACAGAATCTATGGGTGCATTTCTCAGTGTGAGTGATTGTCGGCTTCGTCTTCAGTCGTAACGCTGATCTTCAAAGACTTCCCCAGGAAAGAGCTGATGTGCATGTTATTATCAGAGATCAGTCTGAGGTGAACAGCAGCTCTTCTCGACTCTCACGTTAGCATCTGCAGTGTGTAGACGAGCAGATAACAGACCAGCACAGCCACAGCTGCAGATACTGTACGCTGCTCGGTACACCAGCAGATGCTATCACAGCTGGCCACTATAACACCGAGCACATCACGGCTGATCTCTGTGTTAAAGCAGGACTGAAACATGCTAGTGACATCAAACACTGTGCATGAGAGCAAACTGATGCACTAAAGCCTGCAACAGCACATCCAGCAAGCGTGTAGAGATGTAGGAACTGCACTGGCTTGATTCAGGTCTTACCTAATGGTACTGTTATCAATATGCATCATTCACACTGTGGTGTACCGCTAGGCTCAGTTCTTGGTCCCTTGCTTCATTATATATGCTGCCGCTATAGACATCATTAAACAGATATTTTCCACTCATGCAGAAGATAATACACATAAAGCATCAGCAAACCTTTCTCAACACCGCAGGAATGACTCTTCTGGCTTTTACCTGCTTTCTGCAACCTTTCTTCACCAGACTCGAAGTCCGCTGGTGTGTGTAGCAAGCTAACTTACTGGGCAAACTGGTGACATCGGTAAAGCCGTCCACATGGAGGTAAGCTGGTAAGCGTGAAAAGGATTGGCATCATAGCACCCTGTAGCATTCATTTAAATACGAAATGCAGCCATACATAGCTCTGGCTACATAATTCACCATCTCCAGAAATGTGTACGCGGGTACACTTTCAGAATGAGTCTGTGTGTGAAAAGTGAGCAGTGAAGTTCTACTCATGTGGTAATCCATGCTTGGAGCATTCAGAATGATTCTGTTTGCATTATTACAGCAACATTCATGCCAACAGTCTGATAAACATACACAGAACATGTTAAATGGATGTAATGCTATATATTATATGACTCTTTAATATCTCTGCTGATGCTCTGTTGAGTTGAATGTGGGTGTGTTTGATCACAGGGTT